ATCGTTGAAATTTGTTTTTGCAAAATATATTTATATAAAGATATACATATATATTATGGTTTCAAAATGTTTGCAAAATGTTTTAATTCTCGGGATCCATGTGAGTAGAGAGTGCAGCACTGTTCCTTGCAGCCGAGGGAGAGGTCATCTCTTGTCGGGCAGTGTTGATCATTATGGGCTGAGAGGTTAAGTGTAAGACCATTGAGGGTAATACCTGGTGGGCTAATCTTGCATTTGCCCATAGTCTCTGGGTTTTTTAATAAGGTGGCTTGGCTCAGGGGTTCACTGTCCATAACAGTGTATTTGGCCAGGCCTTGTAACAGAGGCTAGGCTGAACCCATGTGGCTGATGTATAGATCAATGTTTGGGTCCCACGCCATACAAAGAAACCCAACTGGGCAGCAGTTTGGAAGGTTGATGAGCACATAGACTTATTGGGCCTAAAGCCCATTTCAAACTAGTCTAATATGATTAGTTAAATAAGGGTAGATCTGGGATCTGGATTAGTAGATAGGATAGAGAGTTATCCCTATCCACTCTAAGAATCTAGATCCAAATAGAGATCTGGATCTGGAAACCTCCTAATGAGATTAGGAGAGTTGATCTAATTTACAGATAAGATAAGGATCTATCCTTATCACTTAAAGAGAGTCCAGRTTCAAATAAGGATTTGAATCAGGAAACTCCTAATGGGATTAGGAGCTGATCTCTTTAAGTCTATAAAAGGAGGAGGGGGCGAACCATTCAATATATCTCAAAACCCTAGACATCAGATCCTAGATCACATAGAGAGAAAACAACAACAGTGTGACTGTACCATCTTCTCCCTGCGTTCTCCTCTAGTTGCCGCCAATTGCTAGTTCGATCTCCATTCTTGTAGGAGCGATCAAGAATAGTTCTTGATATCAGTCTTTGGAGAAAGGCTGATCTGAAGTCGTGCTTACAGCCTCCATCGAATTCTTGCTGAAGGGTTCGGTTATTGGGAAGAATACTATTGATTCTGCTCCACTCTACACTGTGTCATCTTCAGTGGGAGCAGTCTTTGGATATTTCTTTGAGCGTAAACACCTTCATTGGGAGTTACTGCTACTCTGTATTAGGTATATCCCTGTCCTACCTTTTGGTTTCAGATCTGGTCCGGTTCTTGGTTCAAGATTGATCATTGAAAATGCAAATTTTCTAAAACAGGGAATGTGATTCCCACATGGGAGAGAGAAAAATTTTTGAAATTTCGCCCTACCTACCTGTAGGGTTCGGCTATCCATATGATGGATCTCTCATCCCTTCAGTACCCATCCCAAGTGCAACTTTTGTGAAGCTAATATGAAATTATATATTAATAAAATCATTCAAAAACAAAACGATATTGCAGTTTAAAATGAATTAAACATTATCATTAAATCTTCAACAAATTAAGGGAAAATTCCCGACTAGTACCTTGTACTTTGAGCTTAGTGCCACTTTAGTTACCAAACTTTAAAATACAATAATTCAGTACTCGAACTTTCAAAATGTGTCAATCCGATACCTACCATTAACTAATCGTTGAACGGCATTTGGAAAAACACAAATACCCTTTGAGTGTCATCTAACTCTCTTTATCAACCATCCAAACATTGATAAAAAAAGAAACAACCCCAAATCATAGCATCTTCTATTCAAGAAAGTTGGGGTCACGTCTCAATGGGTATTTTGGTGACCCCAACTTTCTTGAGTAGAAGAGGCAAGGATTTGAGACTGTTTATTTTTTATCGATGCTTGGATGGTTGACAAAGAGAATTAGATGACGCTCGAATGGCATATGTGTCTTTTAAATGCCACTTAACATTTGGTTAACGAACTGGTTAACGGTAGGTACTGGATTGGCATGTTTTAAAAATTCGGATATTGAATTATCGCATTTTAAAGTTTGGGGACCAAGGTGACACTAAACCCAAAGTACAGGGTACTAATCGAGAATTTTCCCTTATATATACTAAATTGATAAATTCGGTTAATCACATTTTTCGATTTGATTTTCTTAATTTGATTCGATTTTTCAGTATTTTATGAGCACCCCTATAAATAAATATACTTTTCAGTATAATTTATCGGGTTCTAATTCGATAGACTGGACTATTAATCGAGACAGCTTTGGGTCTTTGATTTTATCCTGATTAATAATTGGTTTAGGACTGACGCTGGCAACAACAAAATACACACTATGTAAGATGAGATTATGTGAAAGCCAAAAAATGGAAAAAAAAAGGTAAATTATAGATAAGTACTATATACTTTGGGAGTAAACACTTAAGGGTCTGAATCTTGAATACACATTCGAGTCCAAGTCTATTAAAACAAAAATAACGTTACAGTGAAGGTAAACTTGTGAAAATGCTCATATTTAAAACTTTCTTTTTTTCCATTCTTTTTTGTTGTTCCATTCAAATGCTTTTATTCTTTATTGAAAA